CCTTTGTCCGGTGGTTCACCCTCAAAATGTTGAGGTAACTCCGGTGAAGAAATGGAAGGAGATGGACATTCCCAAGATAGAGATGGGTTTGGTGCTACCCATAAAGGAGAGGAAAATGGTGATGGAATATCAAGTAAGGAGTTGACTTTCCGAATGGATTTTTCCTCATCAAAATCCTCAAAATCAGAGTGGACCAAGCAAGCTTGTAGGGGATCCTCCGTTGAAGGAGGTGGAATTGGATTTTCAATGAGTTCATCAGCAATAGTGATTGCAAAACACTCACTCTCATCCAGAGAAAGATGCACAGCATTGAAAATATTGAGCTTAACATTCATATTCCCAAAAGAGATATCCATCAATCCAGTTCTACAGTTAATAGAAGCATTAGCTGTAGCTAGAAAATGACGTCCGAGAATTATGGGAATGTGTTTTCTTGGGTCGTGGACTAGTTCCGTATCAAGAACCACGAAGTCTACCGGGAAGTAGAACCTATCCACCTTTATGATAACATCTTCAATGATTCCCCGTGGTTGCTTAATAGATCTATCAGCAAGTTGTAATACTATCGGAGTTGGTTTAAGATCTCCCAAACCAAGTTGTAGGTAAACCGAATATGGAATCAAATTCACACTGGCTCCTAAGTCAAGGAGGGCCCTCTCGATTTTGTTGTCACCAATGACACAAGAGATTGTGGGGGCACCCGGATCCTTATACTTCGGAGGAGTGCTGTGTTGAATGATCGCACTAACATTTTCGGTTAACCTCACTTTCTTTGGTAAATGACTTTTGGAAGTGCGCTTTTGAGTGCACAAATCCTTAAGGAATTTTGCATAGGGAGGAATTTGCTTGATAGCATCCAAGAGAGGAAGATTGATCTTTACTTGCCTAAAGACCTCCCACATGTCTTGAATTTTGCAATTCTTATTCCCAGAATGTGTCGACTCTTGAAGACGTTGAGGGAACGGAGCTTTTGGCTCATAAGTAGTTTCCACATTTGGGGTGACATGCGTGGGATTTCCATGAATGGTATTTGGACAAGAAGAACTTGGATTTGGATTTTTCAAAGGAGGATTTTGTTCACTTTTGTCTCCATTGACCTTGTTGTCAACCACTTTACCACTCCGAAGGGTGGTGATAGCTTGAACATGCTCAAGACTCGGCCCACTCGGAAGAGGGGTTTCATCAATTGCATGTATCCCTCTAGGATTTTTAAATGGTTGAGCGGGAAGCTTACCCTTGTCTTTTTAAAGAAGTTGGTTCACTTGGTTAGCTATTTGTCCCATTTGATTTTCAAGCCTAGCTATGGATTGAGTATGGGAATGAACCATTTGAAGAGTAGGTTACAAGGATATCAAGAGATGCTTGTTGGAATCCATGATTTGCTTGTTTAATGATTCCATCATTTGCACATTTAATGATTCCATCATTTGCTTGTTTGAAGCCACTATCTCATCAATTGGATTCACAGGAGGTTGAGTGGAGACATTTGGATTGTATAGAGGTTGGTAGCTTGAAGAGGCTTGGAAAGGCCTACCTTGATATTGAGAAGAGGGCTGATTTTGAGGCCCTTGATTTTGAAGTTGGGAATTTTGTGGGGCTTGTTGCCTCCATGAAAAATTCGGATGGTCCCTCCAACCTGGATTATATGTATTGGAATACGGGTTATGCCCGGGCCTTGAGAACATGGCATTAGCTTGCTCTTGGTTGGGATTGGGAAATTGCTCCTGTGTAGGGCAATCTTCCGAGAGATGGAATGGACTAGTACATGAAGCACAAACCGAACTTGCTGAATTTTGAGACAATGAAGGGGGAAGATGTGGTGCCATCAATTGGTAGAATTTATGAGCAATGGCATCCACTAGAGTTGCATCGATGTTTGGCATCACTATGCAAGATGGAGAAGCATAGGTGGTAGGGATGAAATGATCTCTAAGAGTCATTGGCTCGATATTAGGAATTTCAGCCCTTTCATTCCCCGGATTTCCTATATTATCCCCCATTGTATTAAATTCAGTTTCAAGATCCCGTGTAAGAGTAGGTTCCCTAGGGTTCCGTCTAAGAGTTCTTTCAAGAGAGTTAATATCAATGGGAGAATCGATTGTGGGTAAGGAAAGTGACCTACGACTGAACATCAACAACAAAGCATATACTCAACAAAGCAATTCATCAACCACAACTCCACATACGATGTTCCCTTTCTCCTCAATTATCAAGACAGAAAATAAATGGCCACGACAAGGACCGATGCTTGAACATGAAATTAAAACAATAATATAGCCTCAACAAGGGCTTGCAAATAAATTAACTACTTCTAAGCTTAACACATGCACAAAATATAACAATGTGAAACTAAAAGGTCAAGAAGCTTACCTAGGGTCCTCTAGACTTACACTTTGCTAGCGTTCCCACGGCGAGAGTCGAGTCCCTAGAATCTTACAACATAAAAATGGTTAAACCACACGAGAAATATGCACAAAACACAATATTAACAATCACACTAAGTTTAACCCTCAAACTTTGGTTGCTAAACCGTATGCAAGTCCCCGGCAATGGCGCCAAAAATTGATCGGTTAATCAACTATACATCAACCTTCGCAATAGCACGAATCATTGTAAAATAGGGCTATTGGTCGGATAAGTCGAACCACTGGGACTGCGCGAATATAAGGCAACCTAAGTGTCTAGAGTCATTTTAGAATGACTAGGGGTGTTCATAGAGGTTTTGTTTGTTGTCACTTAAATTAGGAATTCAAAGTGCATAAAACACTAATTTGCAAGGAATTTAGGATGAAAAGATTAAGAAGAGGAGACTAGGGAAGTGAATCCGCCTCCATCCCTATACATATACTAGATTAGACCTAAATTGGGGGGAAAACAACATATGATGGTCAAGACTTACATAGCAACACATGGTTGCCGTGTAAGTAATCAAGAGGTACATTAGGTCTCAAACAAGTATAATCCATCAAAAGATAAACATGCTTAGACTACCTAACTAATGTGTAGCTTATACACATTTACTTAAATGAGAGACTATCAAGTTCTTGACAAAATGATAAAGCACATGGAGTTAGAGATTAAGCATACACCATCAAAGGATTTCCTAAGCAATGGTCTATCAAAGTCACCTATCAACATGCCATGAAACCATTTCATAACCTTGCTTCCACTCTCACCATGAAAACTCAAGCAATATGATTACTCTAAGACATCATCTAAAACAAGATAATCAACTTAAAGAAATCATCCATACATGTATCAACATTCATTACAACAAATGAGGTGCTCTTGGTTATGAAAAGACCATAAAATATACATGGCAAATCCCCAAAATAGACTATCCTAGGACATGCTTACAAGGGAGGGAGGACTTCATCACCTCCCTAGAGGAAGAGTTAGTTACCCATTGGAGCCTTAGAATGAAGAAGAACCATGGATCCTCCTTCCATTTTCGAGCTCCCCTTTCTTGCTCCAAGAACTCTTCTCCTTTTGCTCTCTTCTCTCCCCTCTCTCTTGTAAAAAATGAAGCTTAATGATATCCCATTGTGTGGCTCTCCCTCTCTTTATCTAGATAGAATAAGCCTCTAAAAACCCCCACCAACCAACATCTCCAACCAACTATTAAAGAGGAAAATTAGAATTGAGGAACCCAAGATGCAAGTGGCTAAAAATGGGCCATTTCCGGATGCAATTCTGCCCTAATTTTGAGCACTCGAAATAAGGGATCGAGCACTCGAAATTGGAGCAGAATGCTCCATTCTTGCCTTGCTCTGCCCGAACCTACTTTGGTAAAATAGCCATAACTTTGCGCTCCGAACTCTAAATAATGAACCGTTTCAAGATTTGGAAACATAATTTAGATTTCTAAAAACTTTATGTTTTCATGAAGATCCAATTCTCAATTCTGATTGGTCAAAATTGAAGAGCAAGGCAGAAACTCATTGCTGCCAGGCAGTTCTGAGCATCTCTGATAAGAAGATCATAACTCTCTGCTCCAAACTCCGAATGATGAACTGCTTAAAGATTTGGAAAGCTGATTCAGAGCTCTAAATATGTCATGTTATGATGGAAGTCCAGTTCTTGAGTTTTCTTGGTCAAAATGGCGAGCAAAGTCCAAGATCCACTGCTGCCAGAAATTCCGCCTTGTGCCTTTTGATGGTCTAAAATCCACAAAGTCTTATTTTTGCTCCTTTTTGGCAAAAGGACCTGAAAATATATACAAACACACAAATGGAGATAATCTACATAATATAAGCAAACAATGGACTTAAATAATGCAATTAAGGGCGCTTGAATATATAATATTCGGCGCTTATCAGTTTCAACCATGGTAATTTAAGTGAATGGATCAGCTAGAATGGTATCCCAGGCCAGCAAAAATTACCATCAAAGACCATAAGAGGAATAGTAAAAAATTAAGAATCAAATTCCTTAGATGTACTTTGTGTGTGGTAAGGGAACAAAGCTTCTTGGAATTTCTCCACTTAGTTTGTTAAAGATGAGGTCTCTACAAGAGAAATGAGGAGAAACAAGAGATAAGTATGTGATCAAAAAGCCAATTAAGAAAATAAGAGAATGGAAAAGAAAGGTATAATTCCACTAAAGGTTTGCAAGTTTGTCATTTCTCCAAGATAATCAAGTATCTGTCCCATAATATTACAGCTCCTTAATATCCTGCAATGCAATATATATATATATATATATATATATAATATTACAGCTCCTTAATATCCTGCAATGCAATATATATATATATATATATATATATATATATATATATATATTGTTATGAAATAAGGATCGAATAGGAGTTTATGAGAACAAGAGAAAAAATAATGACAAGAAAAAAATATAGGCACACTGTAACACCCCCACATTTTCCACGCATAAGTTGATCAGGCTTATACACGAAAAACGAGGGATATCAAAAACAATTGGCAATATACAAGCATGGAATACAAAATGATGATAATAAAAGAATTTAGACAGGAAAGGAATACTAAATAATACAACATCCATCCATCCTTTATTTAATACAGTACTTCGTTACAACTTGGAAATCCTATGTCAAGGATCCCTAAATATAACCCTGAGAGTTCGACGTCAAAAGTAAATAAAAACTGAAACTGAAGTAATACATAAAACTTCTACCCTGAACTGGATCGTAAGAGTAGATGAGTTCGGATGGTGGTCCCTCACTGCTAACCTCAACCTTGGAACGGGTACTGACCGTATCCTGAAATAACAACAATGGTGGGTCAACCCCACGAGCAAGTCCTCTCTACTATGACCCAAAACAGAGAATCAAATAAATTAATCATCAAGAATCGGATGAGTACTATATCTGTATACATCCTAAGGGAACTATCCAATGTATAACATGACCTCAACCAGAATAGACGGTGATCACTTAGACTCACACTAGGTGGTTAAGTGTCGCCTTTCCCTACCCGGGAAATCAGCTATTATACATGGTGCACGGTACTGACAACACAGACTATAACGAACTACACAGTGATAACACCTCTCAAAGTACTGATGAATATACCGAGCATACAAATTAGGCAACACATGCCAATAATATTACTAAATATACTGAGCATGTCAATTAGGCAACACATGCCAATAATATTAAACCACATACCCCGACAGCCACACATCTGTCTATAGCAACGAATGCATAAGGTACAAATGAGTCTAAACTTATTAGCCAGCTCATATGGTTCTATATGGCAACACATCCATATAATATAAATGCGACATAATTAAACAGTCCATTTATTTCCTGAAATGCACACAGCATAATAATCATGATTTATATATCATTTAACAGTATAAACATCCCATAAGATATCATGGATAATTTATCTGACGAAAACCATGGCATTATTTAGTTTAACAGTAATGTTTGATACCAAGTAATGTTTGATACCATTTAATAAGATAATAACACTATTTATATTTAACAATGTCGTTAAATAAATCACATTAGTATCCGTACTGTGAACGAGCCAATAAATGCTTAGAAAAGATTAATCGGTTATAAGAATAAGTAACGGGTATTAAAATAATAATTTCGTGGCCCGTTAAACCCGTAAATACCAACACAGTACCTAAAAATCCAAGTTTAAGATTCTGGAATTTACAAAACAGGCCCTAGGGGTATTCTGGTAATTTCCAGCAGCTGTAGAGACCTCACACGCGCCCTCACGCGCCTCCCAGAGCCTCCCCACGCGCAGCCCAACCTTCCCCACTCTCCCACGCGCGTCTGGCATCAGCCACGCGCGCGCACGCGCTCCCACGCGCGCACTAATGCATCCTGATGACGTGGCTCATCCTAATTCGTTGGCTGCATCATCCTACTATGGGCGCGCTACATTGAATCATCTCACCCTCTCATCACTCAATCCTATGCTCATAGATCCGGGTGTACCGCGGTAACATGGACCGCGATGCACCGGATCAATCAGCTTCATCTAAGGCCCAGGATGCGCGCGCACACCCTCTTATGGTGCGCCGCATCACACCGGATCACTCCGGTCATGTCCCCCATTGCCGGCGACCGGAAAACTCGCCGGAGGGTCGCCGGAAAATACAGAAAAATTCTGAAAATTGCCCAAAAATTCTATAAAAAATTCTAAAGCCTTAAATAACAATTTCCTAAGTTTCAAATAATTACCTAGGCTAATAATAAATTATTTAACCCTTAAATAATTAATATCTCATTATTTTAATAAATTAAATAATTAATTTCTCATTGTCCTAGCATGGTTTTTAACCTCAAAAAAATAGCCGAATAAATGAAATGAATAATTTATGGACTCAAAGGGGAAAAGTAGATAATAACTTGCCTTTTTGGATTTAAAATAAATCCGCCGGTTGCGCGTAATCGGGTAAATTCCCTACACCGGTCCAGGCTCCTTTCTTTCTCTCTTTTCCTTTCGGTCTTATACAAGAACTCACTTTTATTATTTCCTTCTTCAACTTATGTGAATCCTCAACTAAAGGGCTAACTTCTATATATACATAACTTATATAATTTAAATATTACAAATATCTATTTTTGCATTTAATTAACCACATTCCCAACCATAAGGCTTTAAGGCTAGCAAGCCAAGTCAAGCAAGATGTCCTAAGGTAAATCCTATCCTAAGATTTAATTTCTTCATCATTACATTGATTTAATACTATTATTATTTATTATAAATATTATTATTATTTTTATTATTAATAAACTATTATAATTATTATTATTATAAATATTATTATTATTAAATACAAATTAAATACTTTAATTAAATAATATTAATTAATCTAAAACATAACCAATAAAATGTCTAAACTAATCATTATAATACATAGAACAAAAAAATCAATATTACATGCACAAATAAATAAAATTAATTAACTAATTTAACATATATAATTAAAAGGTGAATAAATCTACACATTAAAGAATTAACCTAACACAAAATTAATTTAAATAAACTCTTTAAAATTACGGGGTATTACATTCTCCCCCCCTAATAAAGGAATTTCGTCCCCGAAATTCACTACATACCTGTATTAAAAAGCTCTGGATACTTGGCACGGATAATATCTTCCCGTTCCCAAGTAGACTCTGTAGCACTATGATGACTCCACTGTACAGTACTAATGGAATAGTCTTCGTGCGCAGTATCTGATTCTTACGATCGAGAATACAGTAAGGTTGTTCCAAATAGGTTGCATCGGGTTGCAACTCAATTTCACCCACATCTATGTGTTGATATCGATCTTCTTCCCGTAGAAATTTTCGCAGCATAGATACATGAAAAACATTATGTACCCTATGAAGATTATCTGGTAGAGCCAGACGATAAGCTACTGCCCCAATCCGATCTGTAATCATAAAAGGACCCACAAAACGAGGCGATAACTTACCCTTTGACCCAAACCGCATTACTCCCTTCAGGGGAGAAACCTTAAGCAAAACCTGATCTCCAATCTTAATCTCCAAAGCACGAGTTCGACGGTCAGCATAACTTTTCTGTCTGCTTTGAGCTGTACGCATCCGATCCCTAATGATAGCGATCTTTTCTGACGTGTCCTTAATAAATTCAGGACCCAAAAAGCTGTTCTCACCAACTCCAAGCCAACAGACAGGAGACCTACACGGTTTACCATACAAAGCCTCAAATGGTGCCATACCAATAGTTTTCTGATAACTATTGTTATAAGCAAACTCTGACAGCGGCAAATATTCCTCCCAATTGCCCTTAAAATCAAGAACACATGCCCGCAACATGTCTTCTAAAATCTGATTAACTCGTTCAGTCTGTCCATCTGTTTGAGGATGATAAGCAGTGCTAAGATAAAGTTCTGTACCTAAAGCCTGCTGAAAGCTCCTCCAAAATCCTGATACAAACTTCGGATCTCTATCTGATACGATGGATAATGGTACGCCATGAAGTTTCACCATTTCTGCAATATACAGCTTAGCATACTGTTCTGACGTAAAGTTTGAACGAACAGGCAGAAAATGAGCGGACTTGGTCAATCTATCAACAATGACCCAAATAGAGTTGTGATTATGCTGTGAAGTAGGTAATCCCTCTATGAAGTCCATGGAAATACTCTCCCATTTCCACTCTGGTATGGGAAGTGGCTGTAACGATCCTGGCGGTCTCTGATGATCAATCTTAATCATCTGACAAGTGTTACATTTAGAGACAAAGATAGCTATGTCTCTCTTCATACCGGCCCACCAAAACTGGCGTTTCATGTCCTGATACATCTTGTCTCCCCCTGGATGTACAGAGAACTGAGAAGTGTGTGTCTCTCTCATCACAACATTTCTCAAATTGTCAGCTGAAGGCACAATTAAACGTCCCTTGTACCTCAATCTTCCATCAGTCCCTGTAGAATAAAAAGGAACATCTCCGGAGGCTAACTCCGAAACCCGATCAATACACTGTTGATCTGAGAGTTGCGCTTGAATGACCTGATGAATGATAGAAGGAGTTACTACCACACATGCCATAAAAGCATCTGCTAACTCATCAACAGTCTTCAAAGTATCCCACTCTGTTGCAAACAAAGCTGAAAGGCTGACATAGGGTCGGCGGCTGAGTGCGTCTGCTACAACATTCGCTTTCCCTGGATGATACTGAATAGAGAAATGATAGTCTTTCACGAACTCCAACCATCTACGCTGTCTCATATTCAGTTCCCTCTGTGTAAACAAATACTGTAGACTTTTATGATCGCTAAACAATCGAAAAGTCTCCCCCAAAAGATAATGCCTCCAAATACGCAAGGCAAAAACCACTGCTGCGAGCTCTAGATCGTGAGTCGGGTAATTAAGCTCATGAGGCTTAAGCTTCCTAGACCCATAAGAAATTGGTCGCTCTTCTTGCATTAACACACAACCCAAACCCTTCAGAGAAGCGTCGGTAAATACTAAATACTCGATTCCACTCTGAGGTGTGGCTAAGACAGGTGCAGAAGTTAACTTACTCTTCAACTCAGCAAAAGCAGTCTGACAAGAATCATCCCATACAAATGGTACATTCTTCTTAGTCAGATGAGTAAGTGGACCCGCAATTTTGGAAAATCCCTGGATGAACCTGCGATAATACCCTGCCAATCCCAGAAAACTGCGAATCTCTGTCGGTGAGGTAGGCTGTCCCCACTCCATAACGGCCGCAACCTTGGCTGGATCTACTGCTAACCTTTCTTCTGACACTACATGACCCAGAAATTTGACCTCTTTCTGCCAAAATTCACACTTCTCAAACTTCGCAAACAACTGATGTTCTCGAAGTGTCTGCAATACTGTGCGTAAATGTCTGGCATGGTCCTTCTCCGACTTAGAGTAAACCAGAATATCATCAATGAAAACAATGACAAACTGATCTAAGTATTCTCTGAATACTCTATTCATCAAGTCCATAAAGACAGCTGGAGCGTTCGTTAAACCGAAAGGCATAACACGAAACTCATAAGATCCGTACCTTGTGAGAAATGCTGTCTTTGGAACATCTTGTTCTCTGACTCGTAGCTGATGATAACCAGACCTCAAATCGATCTTTGAGAAGTAAGTAGCTCCCTTCAACTGATCAAACAGGTCATCAATTTTGGGCAACGGGTACTTGTTGCGAATAGTGACCTTGTTCAATTCTCTGTAATCAATACAAAGACGAAGAGATCCATCCTTCTTCTTTACAAACAGTACTGGTGCTCCCCATGGTGAAG